ATTAATGATTTATTCAAAATTGACTGAATTGTCCTAAAAATGAATAAACTGGTCAACTGAATTGAATGAAATAAATTGATCAAATAGATCAGATGGAGTGAATGGCTTATCCAACAAAAACGACTCAATATCCTAGATGCAAATAAACTTGTAAGAATGGGATGGATGGAATTGATATGGTTTATTTAAAAATTGACTAGATTGTCCTAAAAATGACTAAATTGTTCTAAAAGTGAATGAATTGATCAAATAGATGAAATGGAGTTAATGATTTATTCAAAAATGACTAAATTGATAAAATGGATTGGATAAAGTTGATGAATAAATTGGTCAAATGGATTGAATAGAATTGATGGTTTATTCAAAAATCGATTGAATTATCTACCCATTGGTAGTTTCAAAAAATTCAATGCGATGCATTAGTCTAGAAGCCTTCTAAAATCAAGATTTTGGCTTTGATTCATTTATTGCCTCAATAATGAGGAGTCATTCATGAATTTATTTAATTTAAAGTCCTTTATGCAAAGGATTTTACCAATTTGATAAAATGGGTCAAAAAATGGGTGTTAGAGGCTCGTATTATAATGTACAAAATATCGCTCTATGAAAATGAACGGATCCTACCTTACCTTGTGCACTACCCCTCCGGATGTTACAAAAATGTAAACGTGCAAGTGTCGCGCCCCATTTTTAAATGAAAAATAAAAGTGTTTAGAAAAATGGATTTTTGATTTATTTTTGAGTAAAAAATGAATTTTTAATAAAGGAATGAATCTTGATTAATTTTTTATTTGAGAAATGAGTTTTTTATTTAAAAAAATGAATTTTTGTTTTTAGAAAAATGAATAAAGAAATGTGGGTCTAAATGGGAATTAAAAATGCGACGATTTTGACCCAAAATAATAGTTTAAAAAGGGTTTTAATGAAAAATAGGAGTCGCCACTTGGTATTGTGTTAAGATGTACCAAGTCACCTAAAAATGAATTTTTAAAGAAAAAGTAGAAAAAACCCTTTTTAAACGACTCCAAGTCCTCGAAAATCAGAGAAATGTGTTCGGGAGTCACATTTGAAGAAAGGGAAGGCAAGGATAAAAATCCAAGGCACCCTTTCAACCTAACCAAGGCTATTTGCGTGATTTAGTCAAAGATTTTCTTATTTTAACCTAAAAATTTATCACATTCGGATGTACTATATGAATGCAAAACCGAAACCTAGTGTATCAGGGTCAACATGTCTCTTCGAAGCTTAATTGGTGCAAATCACATTAATTGTGTTACCCAAGAGTAACTATTTGAAGAGGTCACGAATGTGCAAAATATGAGACTCCAAGTAAAGAAAAGAAAAATAATAATTATACAAATATACATGACCTAGAGAAATGCATCATAACGGGTGCGGAGAACTAAAATTCGTGACTCAATTTTCCCTTTTATAGAGGGAATACGAGCGTGCTAAGGTTAGAGAGCCAAACTCGTCCATATCCCATATTCAAAGGGTATTTCTCCTATCTAATCATGCAAATGTACTAGCCTAATTATAATTCTTAAATGGAATGCAAATCTAATGTTATGTCTCACACATAGGGATAGGGAATAAAAATATAAGGGGGAATATGGGATAAGGGATATACGTATAAGGGGAAACATGGGGTAAGAGATATACGTATAAGGGGGGTTGTCATGCAAAAATGATAAAAAAAACCCTAGAAAGTGAAAAATATGCATGAAAATGTAGTGTAGTCAAACAAACATGATCTAGCGTGTGAATGGTTCCTAAAGGTCTTGTGTTGAACTAGCCCATGTCTACGAGTTCTCACCAGCGTTGGACTAGTGAGAAATCGAAAAAAGATGCCACAACTAGCGTTGGACTAGTGTGGAGACGTCACACATTAATTATAACTAACTAATCATGTAAAACATAATAAAAGCATGTAAACACATAATATCACATAACACATAATCATGATATCTAAATGCAAGGCCCTAAGAAAGTGGATAACACGTAACACATAAGCATGCAAAACACACAAGCAATTAAAGCAAATAAAGCCCTAACTATTACACTTGGGGCCCTAACTACAATTTAGGGGGGGAGGAATAAAATAAATAAATCCCTAACTATTACATATTCTATCTAAATACAGGTCTTGAATCCCCTAACTATTACAACTTGGCATTTAAATGCCTTTCAAATAATCAAAATTGAGCTAAAATAAATATACAAAATTAAGACAAGTAAAGCGAATAAATAAATAAATGAAATGAAGACATTCAAAAGGCATGCAATTAAGCATATAAAGTCACATAGGGGCACATAGGGTCAAGTAAAAATCAAAATAAGGGGTAGAGTGTACCTCCCTTGGATTGGTGCCCTAATGAAATGAAATTACTTATTTACCCTCCAAAAGTAAAGAAAAGGTCAAGGCATCATTTTAATTAACAAATAATCACATGAAATGGAAATAAACACGAAATTGAATTACTCAAAGCATTCAAATAAACTAAACAACCCCTATTCATTAAATTGAAACAAACAAGGACCTATTTGAAAGAATTAAAGAAGTTGAGGGGTCAATTTATTATTATTACAAATATTAAGGGCCTAAAAGGAAATAAATTAAAATTAAGGGCTTAAAGTGAAACTACCAATCAAATGATAAAATTCACAAAAAATAAATAAAAACCCATTTTCTACAATTATACGACAAAATTTCCCAAAATTCCACTAAAAATCCAAATCCAAATTATAAAGTTATCAAAAGTTATTAAACCTTCAAATTCATCCCAAAATCACAAATAATCTATCCAAATAATCTTATTAAATCATATCAAATGAAATTAACATTTAAAATGGACAAAATTGATTAAATTTTCTAATTTTCTGGGCCAAAACAGAATAAGGGCAACTTGAGGGGTTAGATTGCATTTTTAGAAAATTTTCCATGCAAACCCACGAAGAACTCATCTTCTTCAACCGAAAACTTTCTGCAATTTTCTTTCTGGGTTCCTCTTTTCATCCAAACGCAAGTAATGCTCAAACAACCAAAATTTGGAGCAAGGCCACAAGATCACCAAGCCTTCTTTTTACTTTTTGCCCATAAAACTCTTATATTTACACACCAAAAATCAGAGGAAAGAGTATGCAAATATCGAAGTCATCTTCTTCGTAGCTTTTGCAATGCCAGAAACTTATGCGAATCCAGAAATTTTCACTCAGCAACGCAAAGCCCATTGATGTATTCACCAAAAGACTAAACACCATGAATTCAAACTCACTTCTTAACAAAATCCAATGACAAAAACACTCCATAGGCAAGATTAAAGCAATAGAGACAAACAAAAACACATAAAACAGCAAACAACTACAAGCATCAGCAGCGACACAAACAACAAAACACAAAAAAAAAAAACGCAAGAACACAGCTCAGCCACGAAGGAAAATGGAAAGAGCTAAGAAATCAGTTTAAGAAGATACCTAAGGAAGCTTTTTGGATTGGATTTGAGTGAGCGAAAGTAGATGGTCGGTTTCCCTTCCTTTCTCCCTTGTCTGCAACTCCAAGCTCTCTTTCCCCTCGCCATTTCCTTCTTGCCTCAGCCACCTCTCTCTCTCTTTCTCGCCCAAAACCCTTTTCTTCCTCCCCTTCTTGCCCTGCCCGTAGCCTCTTCCTTATTTCTTCCTTCCTCAAGCTCACGGCCGAAGCACTCTTTTCCCCTCCGGTTTCTTGCTCTCCTTCCCCGTCTGTTCTTCCTTTCTTTCTTTTGTTCCCCGCAACTCCCTTTTCCTCTGCCCAGAAACCCTCTTCACACCAGCCGCCTTTTTTTCCTTTTTTTATTTTCCGTTCGTTCTTCTTCCTCAGCCCCCAGAGTTCAGCCGCCAAGCTCTCTTCTCATTTTTCCTCTTTGAAAACTCTCAGCCCAAAACCCCCGTCCTCTAGTTTTTTCAGTCTTTTCCTTCCTCTTTTTCTGGTTTCCTCAGCCGAAGACCTCTTCCCCGAAGCTCCAACGAAACCCTTTTTTTCTCTCGATTTTTCTTGCTTGGTTTCTTTTTCCAGCTTCCTCTTTTCTTGCTCTCAGCCCCGAAACCTTTCACCAGCTCCTTTTCCCTCTCAGCCGTTACCCAGTTTTTGCTTGCCCGAAACTCTCCCTCTGGTTTTCTATCCTTCTCCTTTTCTTTTCTGTTTCCTAGCCCCTTTTCTTGCCTGCTTTCTTCTCACTCAGCCGCCACCTCTTTTTCTCTCTTTTTAGCCGCCACCCTCTTTCTCTCCCGTAGTTAATCCTCTTTATCCTAGCCGCCACTCCCCAAAAAAAATCCTCTCCTCTGGCTGTCTTTTCCTCAGCTTTTATATGGAGCGAATGCTACTAAAACCTACCTTCAAGGGTGCCGATGAAACCCTTGTTTTGCTGGCAGGTTTCTTAGCCATTTGATGGTTTCATTCCAGAAGCTTCTTGATGTCTTCTAGTGAGTGAGGTGGCATTGTGTATGGGTAATTTTGGAGAAAAGGAAAATGAAGAAAAATCCCATTTTGTTCCGTCTTATTTCCAGCGGCGAGGTCTGGTTCTCGTACTAGCAAATGATAGAAGAAGACGCGCGCGTGAACCTCCCTTTTTTTTTGTTGTTTGTTGTTTTTTTTTTCAAAACCACTTAAAAACAAATTTGACAATTTTCCAATGTCAATTATGTATTTTTTTTTTCAAATTGAATCTAATAGGATTAAAAACAACTTTTTGTGAAAATTTTCCTTTTTCAAAAATTTAATGCAAAATATCTTAGAAATAGAAATAATGAACCCAATAAGCAAAAATGAACACTACTATCATTTAGTCAATTAAATAAAATAATAATAAATAATAAATAATTAAAATTAAAATTTTGGTGTCTATAGCAAGTCTCCTTGGATTAAGTATCCGGGACATAAGGTGGTTTATTCCTATCGAGGATCCCCTATGCGGCATTCCCTCCTAGAGTTTATGCATGATGCCAATTTATCAAAACAATTAAATATGCAATTTGGGTCAATCAAACTTAACACCGATGCAAGTGTGTCAAATGGTTTGTCTAAAGGCGGTGGAGTGATACGAGATTTTGAAGGGAAGATGCTTGGTGCTTTTTATAAGGAATTCGGGGAATATGAGGTGGTACATGCGGAGGGCTTAGCATTGTTAACTGGTCTACAGTGGTGTGTTGGAACAGGGTTGTCAGATATTTTGGTGGAAGTGGATTCACTAGCGTTGGTACGGTTGGTTACTAGTCAATCTGTTGGTAAGTGGCCATTGTGTAGCGTCTTAAGTCAAATTCGATTGTTACTATGCAAGGTGAAGGGGACCATTACACATATTTATCGTGAGGCGAATGCCGTGGCAGACAACTTAGCTTCTTTATCTCTGGAGAGTCCATATGTTACTTTCCAATCTCATCAGCAACTTCCAAGTAGAGCTCGGTCGTTGATTAATTTGGATGCAATTGGTTATCCATATATTCGCAACTTTAATGTTTAGGAATAGTACTCCTAGTTCTCTGGCATGTATTGAAGGTTGGGACTTTTCCCTCCTTCGTATTGTTAGCGTTTGCAATTAATAAAAGTTGGGGAGTTTTCCCCTTTTGGAAAAAAAAAATGCAATTTGAAATGAAACATATGACCTAAGGGACATGGATAAGTTGTGTGAAAAATTTCATCTCAAGCAACGCAAGTCCTCCATGTATAATGCCCCCGCCAATGGCCTTGCAGAGGCATTCAACAAAACTTTATGTAACTTGTTGAAAAAAGTGGTGGCTAAATCAAAGAAGGATTGGCACGAAAGGATTGGCGAAACTCTTTGGGCTTATCGCACCACATATCGAACTCCAACGCAGGCCACACCATATGCCTTAGTCTATGGTGTAGAAGTTGTCCTGCTCCTTGAGCAACAAATTCCTTCTTTGAGAATTGCTATCCCAGAAGGGCTCACGGAGGAAGAAAATGTTCGACTGCGTCTGGAAGAATTGGAAGCTTTAGATGAAAAGAGATTAGAGGCCCAACAAAATCTGGAATGCTATCAAGCCCGTCTCTCTAGAGCTTTTAATAAGAAAGTTCGGCGTCGCTCCTTTCAAGTCGGGGACATGGTACTCGCCGTTCGAGTCTAAAAAAAAAAGGAATTGGTGCTTATAAATTTCGTATCTTCATATGATGCCAATTCACATGCAAAGTGACAATGAAGTCCGAAATTGACTTGAGATAGGGGGTCAAGCATGAATCAAAGGCAGGCAGTCCCTATGTGCACTAAGTCTCATTGGGTAAATTGAACAAGCAACACATGCAATTTTTCAGCAATAAAGGGTGCACGAGAATCAAATTTGCAGCAGTGACATGCAATATGTCTATTGAGTTAAAAAGAGAATCTTGGATCCCTGGATACTATGTGGTAAAAAAAAAATGAAAGAAAAATAGCCCATTTGGCAAACATTGTGCGAGTGTTAAAAAAAAAAAAAAAAAGCTGGAAATCAAGACTAAAAGGAGGCTCGATGATTACCTCGGTGGTGTCAAGAATTTTTCTGGTTTGCTCTCTTCCCACGATGCTGCGATTTGTTTAGCTGTGTTCGAAGCCGCAAGGAGAAATTAGAGAGCTCAAACAGTAAGGGATCTTATTGTTTAGCTGTACTTGAAGCCGTAAGGGATCCCATTGGTTTCTTTTATATAGAGCTCAAGCCATGCAATAGAAAAAAAAAAGGAGATCAAGGTTCATTTGGAAATTACAGGAATTGAGTATTACGGAATTGGTTTCTAAAAGCCGGCTAAGTTGATAGCTTCCAATTGTTTACAAGTTGATTTTAGCAGTTTTTTTAGTTTGCTATAATGGTGCTTGGTTGAATGTTCGGTCTAGGCAGTAGACCAGTTTTGATTGGCACATGGTTTTGGAAGCAATTAAAGGTCATAAGGAAGGTGAGCAGTCCAATGTCCAAGGAACTTGCCTAAAAAAAAATTCTCCACCGCTTGGCAGTGGGTTTTGGCAATTGACAATTCATTGCAAGTGCCCAATTTTGATGCCTGCCAGTTTAATGTCTCATGGAAAGTAAATGGAAATGGTAGAAAGTTGCATGCTTCTAATTCCTTTGGAGTGAACAACAATCAAGAGGAAAGTGGTCTCATGGCTTTTTAAAAAAATTTTATTGAGCAAATGAAGCCACGGCATTATCATTCTATACATGAATCAATTCGGTGCACAAATATTCAACTGCATTATGAGACTAGAAAACAAATTTGGAAGCTACAAGTTTCGGCAGTTATACTTCTTTAAGTCAAGCTTAAGAAATGAATGCCAATTTGCTTGTGAATATGATGGTGTATGCCAGGGCGAGTCTAAAATGATATGCAATTATTAACTTACGAATGCAATACATCGGAATCTAAACGTGCAATAGCCTATCTAAGAGGGTAGGTTCTAAAAAAGTATCACTCCAGAACTCTTATTCTCTGATGTTTGTGAATGCAATAGAAGAGAAAACAAGGAAAAGTTAGTTCAACACATAACACATAACACGTTAAGTAGTTTAAATGATACAAAAAGCGAAAAGAAAGAGAAATAAGGAAAGAGAGGTGGAATCCCTCCCTTCATGCCTAGTGTTCCTATTCGGATAAGTTGACCCTAACTTAGGCAATTTCTATCATGGATGCATGAGATTGGCTCACTAATGCATCTAGACTCGATGAGGTTTTCAGGCTCCCATACCTTTAGACATGAATCCCAATGCCTAAAAGTCGGTGGTTGGAGTGATCCCTAGGACATTGCTATGCGCACGTCGTGCCACGGCCATATGTCCAAGTGAATCAATCCTAATCTTAAATAAGGAAGAGTGGTATGACAACCACTAAAAGTAAAAAAAAATTAGGGGCTATAAAGTAAAACGTATGCACGTATGAAGTGCTCATTTTGAAGGGAGGGATTTAAATACCATCAAATGCGGTTGACGGCTCTAGGGTAGCTATCCTGTGACGCCCCCACTTCTCCCTAAGGCGAACCAAAGGGTATCCACGGGACGCCTGCCCAACTCTCGCCAGGACTCAAGCAATTCCATTCAAGCTTATTATCGGTCTACACAACACAAGTAAATAACTTAAATATAGTAAATGCGGAAGCGTTCAAACTTAACAACAGTCATCCATTATCCAACCCACACGTCTGGTGCTCAAAGTACATCATGAATCCCAAATATACATCATGCCCCAAAAGTTACATTTCAAATCCAAAAGTACAACCCAAAAACCAAGACATAGCCAAAATGTAATAGAAACCCTAAACAAAAGCACATCAGGAGGGTTTCTCCAATACATCTCCGAGTTCAATCCTGTTAAGGAAAACAAATCTACAGGGTGAGCAAAACGCTCATGAGGCCAAGAACACACATGCAAGCACGTAGTCCAGATAACAGTCCCAAATAACAGTTTAAGAGATAATTACAAGTAATTAATAAAGCCAGTGAAAGTAAGCAGAAACAATTCAAGGATATAGTAGCTCTCAGGAGCTAAGTTCCACTTGTTTTGCCAGTTCATTCGTATATCTTCCCGCGATGACTCTCCGTCAACCGGGTTGATATTTTCAAACCGTAGATCACCACTTACTTCTCATCCATCCACCCTATACCACTTCGGGCCCGCACGACATTTATAAGGCTATACTCCACGAGTATGCCAAGCAAGATCTCTCAAATAGATCAAGCTTATCATGTGATTCTCATGGCTCACCAAGGTACCCGACCAAACCCATGCCGGCTCGAGTTCCAAGGTCGGCTTATGAGTTTGGGCGTCCCCCATGTATCATGTAAGTGTCGAGGAGATTCACTCCAACGACGTATGCAGCCATAGCATACCATGTCATGTAATAAAGCATTCGACAGGTTTAAGCATGTATTTCAGGTCATGTAAACCAGGCAAAACATGTTAAGCATGAGTCATTTGTTTCAAATGAGAACGAGTGCGATAAAGTACACACTCGACTCCATTTTTCAAAATCAAGTAGGCTAAGCATGTAATCAGGTAAGCCAAGCATGAATCAAGTCCATAGAGTTCAAGTAGCCATACACTTGACACTCACCGAGCAAATCAAGAAGAAATATTTTCTGGAAGTTCAAGTGTTCACTGTAGGATCCTCTTGAAGGTCCTCGAGTGCACCTGAGCAAAATATAATGTATTATCATTCACGTGCCCCAATTATCAAGGAAGATTGTATGTTAGTACAATCTAAGAAAATTTCATCAAAACGAACCTCAATTACTCGTAAATCGAGGTTCAATTAGAGTTTCTTAAAGTACAAGAGCGATTGAGTTTTTATTTTGGAAAATCAAGTATAAAACGTTCAAGTAATATCGAAGGAATAAGGAGTGCTTGAAAACTCCCTTCCTTTGGAATCCGAAAAATTTTCAGTTTTGATACGATATTTTGAAAAATCGTATCTCACATCCTACATGTCAAAAATTGGAAAACTTGGTACCGTTGGAAACCTCTTTGAAAGTACTAAAAGTTCTTAGAAGACACTTTTCCATGATTCTAAATGGAAGATATTCAAAAATGGGCTCAAAGTTACTGTTTCAGAGTACTTAAGGTTGTGTTGGGGTTGGTTTTTCGCTAACTTTGGAAGTTCGGCAAAATTCACACGTTGCGAACTAGCCTCTGAAATATATAACTCAATTAGAGTTGCAAGTAATGTTTTTAACAGAAAAAGTGGATCAAGAATCGGAGTTTCGAGCACCGAGATACGGTAGCTCAAAGTTAGGGAAAAATTCAAAACTGGTGAACAAATTTCCAGATTTGAGCTTCCAACTTTGGGACTTTAGTTAGGTATCGAAATGGACTTGGATTGGTACAAAATTTGGCAGTATAATACTCCTATATAAAGAGTATCCCTCTACCAAATTTCATGGAAAAATACCTTCGGGAAGGTAGTCACTCAAACAACCAAAGTTTCGAAAATCCTAAGACAAAACTGCCATGAGCCTTTTGTTTTCCATTCCAAACATTTGGTCAAGGAAAAATTCCTCAAACATGGCTCATTAGTGTAGGCAAAGACTAAGGAACATTCATGGCACATTTCATAAGTGTTTAGCACCAAAATATTCAGTTAGCAAGTCTACACCAAGCCTTGCATCAAATCTGTCCAAAAGTTAGGGTTTTCAAGAGCAGGGCAGGTTCCGTATTTTGATCATAAATCACTCAAATTAACTCGGAATTGGGCATGGTTTATGGCATTGGAAAATAAATTCGTAGAGCTAAAATTTCACAGAAGAAATCATTTTCAAATTTGGCACACAACTAGCTCGAATTCGAGCCACAAGTTGCAGCACCAGCATTTCGTTCCAGGAAAACAGAGAAACAGAACAGCCGAATTTAAATGGTTGGTTCGGCTCTCATACATGGAACCAGAATGTATATTTTATACCGTCAGAAAGGTGGAAATGTCTAGTTTCAAATGCCACTGACAGCACTCGATTTCGACGTCGTAGCACAAAGTTATGGCCGAAACACGAA